GCTACTTGATTTACTACACCAAGGGCTGTCACAAATTCACATGCTAGCAATTGCAGCTGAGGGACTCCCCACATGCTGAATCTTTTAAAGAGAAAACATGAAATGTTGCTTCTGAGCTGCCCTGGGCAGATGGCTGTGACACAGGAGATTTCCTAAGTAGGTGAAGAGAAGGTGAGAGAGCTCGGCTGTGGTCATTTAAGTGGCTCTGTGAGCTGAGCCAGTAGAGGTCTCTCTTCCACTAATAAAAATAAATAAATATCTATATTCATCTGTGTTTGCATATGTCCTCACTTGGGATCCCTCGGTCTCGACCTAGAATAAAATATATACATCCAGAAGCCAGCAGCTCAGATGGGAACAATCATTTGTTCCAGAAAAAAAAGTTCAAAAAATGGAAGTTGGTGTGGTGTACCAGGTTACCATGCTCATGGTATCAACTCCAGGCTTCACACCTGGCAAGAAAAATTTACAGTGTGGTCAGTCCCAGACCTCCAGCTTTTCTCCCCAAAGCAAGTGAGGACCAGAACTGTACTTGCTAGGACATAGACATCTCTTCCAGCCTGCCCAGGTAGCAGGGGATAGGAGCCCTTTCTGCACTTGTCTTGCCTGGTTTTACCCTGGGTAGAGCCAGTCATGACAGAAAGGCTTTATCAGGCAACAGTTGGATTTTTGGCCTCCGTGTAAAGAACCGCTGGGTCTTTGTGGGGGAAGAGTCTGGAGCACACAAAATGGGGCGTCTGCCCACAACTGAAATCCTTGTTTGAAGACTCAGATGTGAGGCCAAGGATAAAACTGGAATGAAACTAATGTTCCTGCCTGCTGTCTCCTCCAAACAGCTGCAGGCGCAGTAGGACGGCCAGGTATAAAAGCCTGAGCTGGCACAGCCTGTCTTTGCGGATGGGGAACGCTGAACCACAAGGTGTGCTGCTCCCTGCTTCCACCCAGAGCCGGCCGGCAGGTGCCAAAGCTGCCGGGAGGAGCGGGGCAGCCCCTGCCAGCACAGCACAGAAAAACAGCACAGAAACACAGTACAGCACAGTACAGCACAGAACAGAACAGTACGGCACAGAAAAACACAGCAGAGCACAGCACAGAACATATAAACACAGCACAGAACAGCACAGAAAAACACAGCACAGCACAGAACAGCCTGCCACAAGCACACATCCAGGTCAGCCTGGTCCAGCTGGGCCACAAACTGGTGTCCTCCACTGCAGTGACATCCCACAATGTGTCAGCTGCAGCAGCAACCTTCCCCTTCTCCGAAAGCCAGAGCCAGGGAACTGCCCCCCGAGACCCGAGAGCGGATCCCCACAGGATCCTACAACCCCTCAACAGCAAACAAACTGCCCATGGCTTGTGGAGAACCTGGATCAGCAGGTTAATTAAAACGGGGAAGGTACACACAGCCAGGCACGGCTGGGAAATGGGGGGAATTCCAGAGGGGTTACAAAGCGGCGGTAGCTTTGTTTTCTCCAGGGAGAAGCAGGGAGTCTGACACTCCTTTGTTTTTAGGCAGTTGCACTTGGTATATTATCATTACATATTAACATGTTATTTTTATTATCGTTATTAATTTTATATTACAGAAAAATATACATTTGACTGCTCTTTAAGTGAAGTGAATTGGGAATTATTTTTATTAGAAAGCAAAAAAATAGAGAAGAAAACCACATTTTCCTCTGTTTTTTGGCCTAATTTTCAGTCTTGCAATGACTGATGTGGGCAAGACAGAAAACAGGCAGGGAGAGGAAAGGCACACAAGCTGCCTGGATGGAGGAGGTGGCTGAGCCTGGATGAAGCACAGCAAACCACAAGTGCAGATACAACCCACCCAGCAGAAAAAAAAAATGCCTTTTTTCAGCTTCAAAACTAAACGAAATATCAGAGGTGGGGGAAAAAAATCAGTATTAAAAAAGTATAGAAAGTCTCCAAGGTTTTACCAGTAAAATGAAAACAGAAGACATCTAATTTGGGGAAAGAGCAAAACAATTCATACAATGTAATCTTATTATTTTACTGCAAATCACACATTTTGTTAAAGCCACTATACTGTAGCCTTTTTATTTTGGTATTTAAAAAATAATAATAAATGAAGAGAGTAAATTACTTTTTAGAAAAAAATAAAAAACACAAAATGCTGTCGGATGTCAAAACAAAAACATGTTGACATTTCCTGAAGTGCAGTATTTTCTTTTGAAAATGAAATTCGGGGTTTTTTTTCAGGTGAAGCTACTGAGAAGTACAGATGGGTACGGATGTCAGAAAACATCGTGTTCCAGCTAATTTCCTCATCCGAGGAAGAGGAGGCTGGCTCCGCAGCTGAAAAGCAGTGGGTGTTAATACTGACTTTCAGGACACTTTGTTAGTACTTTTTCTTCCCGCCAAACGTCTCCAGTGAAAAACGGCCAGAACCACGTCCAAAATCCTCCCGCTAAGGAAGGGGTCAGACCTCTCTTCTCTGGCACGGGAGCACGCGGCTGTGCAGAAGGGAACGCCAACCCTTCCTGCAGCACGGCAGCGCCGAGAGGGGAAGCGGCGCTGCCCGGCGAGCAGAGCGGGAGCGCTGCGGGGCGCGGGGGCTGGCGGGGCGCCGGTGCCGCGGCGGGACAGCCCCGCACCCCGGGGCCGCGCTGCCGGGGGCGCGCAGGTACGTGCGTGTGCACACGCGGGGGTGCGCGCGTCCTCGCGTACGTGTGGCCGCGGAGCCAAGGAGGGAGGGACGGGGGAAGGGAGGGACGAGGGAAGGGAGGGAGGGAGGAAGGGGAAAAGCGAGAGGGGGAGGCGGGCGCTGCGTGCGCACCCCGCGGGGCGGCAGCGCGGTTGCATCAGACGGGGCGGGCCGCGCTCCGCCCTGCCCTTCCCCCGCCGCCGCCCCGCCCGGGCCGCGGAGCGCTGCCAGCCGCACCAAAGCAGCGAGGCAAGGTTGCCTCCAGCCGCCCGAGGAGGAAACGTTGCGGCGGAGAGGAGAAAGGGACAGGGGGGGAAATAAAATTTAAAAATGTGCCCCCGCCGCGCGGCCCCGGCCGCGTCTCCAGTTCCCCGCGGGGCTGCGGCCGTGCAAGAGCCACAAGCGGCCCCCGAGGGAGGGGGCACGGGGCGGGTCCGAGCCGTGGCCGCCCTGCCCCCCTCGCTCCGGGCGGGGCGGCGGGGAATGTCCCCCCTCTGTCTGCGGCCCCTGCATCCCCCGGGGGTCACCGGGGGAGGACGAGGAGGAGGCGGCGGCGGGCGCGGCGCTCCCCCGGCGCTGTTGCGATAGCGGCGGGCGCGGCCCCCGGTAGAAGCTCCACAGACAGAGAAGCGGCATCGATCGGTCGCGGCAACAAGGACAGCAGCGACGAAAAAGAAAAAAAAATATTCAAAATAATAGCGGGGGGGCGGTCAGAGGGCACATCCCAACCCTACGTGACGGAGGAGCGGCATGAAGCCCGCCCGCCGCTTCCCTCCCCGGCCCGGGGGCTGCAGCCCCGCCCTGCCCCTGTCCCCCGCCCGGGGGGGTTTGGCTTGCGCCGGCTGCGGGGATAGGCCGGCTCGGGGAGGCGCCGCTATTTATTTTCCACCGAGATCACTTTGTTCGTGCTGGCGAAAAAAAAAAAAAAAAAAAAAAAAAAAGAAAAACATCACGGGTTTTGGGTTTTGTTTTTTGGCTTTTTGTTTTTTTGGTTTTTTTTTTTTCTAAATCTTCGCGAGTGTTTTCCACGTTTAGCGGGCTGGGTTGCGCAGCCCCGCCGGGGAGGCTGCAGTCGCTGTGCGTGGGGCAGGAGGGCGGGCACGGAGCGCGCCCGGGGCGGACGGCGGCGTGTCCAGCGATCCCCGCAGCCGCCGGAGCAGGGCACGGGCAGCGCCGGCCGTACCCACTCCGGCCCCTCCGCCCGGCCCTGCCCGAGTCGGGGCCCACACTAAAGTGGGGCTGGCAGCCGGGGTCTCGGACCCTCTCGCCGTCCCTCCCCAGCGCCGGCCCGGCACATGCCGGCGTTCTCGGGGAGCTTTCGGAGCGAGGGCGAGCCCGGGCGCGGCCGGGATAAACAACAGGATCGCGTTGCACCGGGGAGGGGGTTGGACCCTGGCGAGCCTCGCAGGGCGCTGTGCTCCCCCTCCGCCCCCGTTCTGTGTTCTTTTACGTGTTTATTTATTCCTCGCAAGCCCTGCGGCTGAGAACGCTCCCCCGCATCCCCGGACGGCGGGGGCCGCTCGCACCTTGGCGGGCAGGGCCGGGCAGCCCCCGCCATCCCCCGCACCGCGGGCATCCCCTCCTGCACCGTGCGGTGCCAGCCCTGCCCGTGTCCGCCGGCGCCGGAGCGCGGCCGGTGCCTCCGGCGGCATCTGCCGGGCCCGGGGCGTGCGAGGCGCCATCTTTGATAGCCACGAGCGGCCGCACGGGGAAGATGCCCCGGGGCTCCGGTCACCGGCCGGGCCCGGCAGCGAGGCACCGAGGGACAAGCTCGGGAATCCCGCGGATGCGCTGGCTCTCCGATGGCCGCCCGGGAGGTGCTCTTTAGGGCTCGAGTTTGAAGCCTTAGGAGTCAGAGTGCAAGAAATACCTCGAAATACCTCTTCTCTCAAAAAAAAAAAAACAACCCCACCCCAAACCCCAAAAATATTTTGACACAGGAAATTCCGCTCTTTTACACCGAGGGCACATCATTCCCAATTACCATAGAGGAGACTCAGAAGCATTTTTATGTTGGAAAAGCCCTCTTCTGAATCCAGCTGTTAAGCCAGCACTAAACGCTGTCCCCAAGTGCCACATCCACAGGCACTCTGAAATCCCTCCCGGGATGGTCACTCCGCCACTGCCCGGGGCAGCTCGTTCCAATGCCTGAGCACACTTCCATGAAGAAATGGCATCGTTGCACTAAGGGCGCTGCATCCTTTACTTTCATCTCCACCAGAGACCCGTGAAGAGATGGATGCTCAAAGGAAAACTGTTATTTCTTGCAGTCTTATTTCCTCCTGCGCCAGGCTGAGGGATGTTGAAACACACACTAATGAAGACCATATTTCTTATATATGGCAGTTTTCTTTATTGATTGCTTGATGTGAAACAATATCAATCTGGATTTTTTTTTTTCCCCACACATTACAAAAAAAAATTAAATTGGCTCAGTCTGCAATCTTTTAAGCACAGCCATATTAATTATGAGAAAAAAAAAAAAAAAAAAAAAAAAAAAAAGAAAAAAAGAGAAAAAAAAAAAAAACAAACTGAAAAACCCTCTAAAAAGTCTACCAAATAGAGCATTTACAAATGCACAAAACCATGCCACTTTGGCTTTATGGGGAAAAAATATTGTCTTCTAGATTAAAAAAAAATCTTTTAACATAAATAAGTTAGTATAATTTCTCAGTGTCTTTACAGAGTTATGTACACAGGTACACTTCAAACTTTTTTTTTTTATTTTTACATACAGGTACACAGGCAACGTAGAAATACTGTTTAAAGATGTAGTATCCCTTTTCCTCTCACAGACAAACACTTCAGGAAGTGGGTCAGATCAGAAAACAACAATATTCCAGATTCAGAGCAAAAGCCTTCCAGATTAGGTTTAAAAAAAATAATAATCAGGCAATGCAATCAGGTGGGATGATTTTACTCAACTTTTTACAGGCTATCAGTTTTGGTATGTGGATTTGGTGGGGTGGGAAGGTGGGGAACTTCTGCTACTACATAACGGAATCATCACAGCTCCCACCTCTTCAGTTCAATGCTGTAGGAAGAAATTTCACAGCAATCTGCTCTGAGCAGTTACCATGATGATACATTAAAAAAAAAATTCTTAAAAAATTTAAAAACAAAAGAAAAGGAAAAAACACTGTGGACCCACTTAAAGGGACAATACATCTTTAAGTAATAAAAAACCTACACTGCTTCTCTTCATAGATTTCTTGGCTTGCTAGATTGTGAAAGCAAGTTCCAATCAGTCACCCTCTTCCAGTCCCTCCCCCCTCCCAACAAGTTTTATGTGCTACATAAGGTAAAAACTATATACACAGGTAGTACAATGAAGCAAATAAGGAAACACCTAATTGCACAATGCTACATCCAATGCTTTTAGAGGCAGGTCTTTTAAGAGTGCCTAAAATTTAGTGTTATTGTTTTTGTTGCTGTTGTTTTGTTGCTGGTTTTTGTTTTGTTTTTTTTTTTTTTCAGTGCTTGTACAGGACCTCCATCTCCCGGAGATCGGCGATATGTATTTTTTTCCTTTCCCACTACAACTTTACATCTTCCTCTCTTCATCGCCGCCCGCCGCACCCGACGAACGAGGACGCGCACATCCTCTGCTCTGCAAGGGGAAAATTGAAGGGGGGGGGGGGAAAAAAAAAAAAAAAGAAAAAGAAAAAAAACGGGGGAAAGCGATTAGAAAACATCGACAAGAAACGCGATCCGCGGCGCAACCGGTTCAAACCGACACCGCATCCCCGGGGCGGGCGGGCCCAGCCCGGGCGGGGCCCCCGCCGCCCCCCCGCCCCGGGCCGTGCTCCCCGCACCGCTGCCAGCGGCCCCTCCATCTATCCACCCATCCATCCATCCCTCCCTCCCTCGGCGGGGAACGCGGGGGGACCCCTCCCGTGCCCCCACCCCCAAATGCGGGCGGGAGTAGCGGCATTCGCATGGCCGCGCTCGGCCACGGCTCACCCCAGCGGGACTAATTTGTTGCAACTTCTGCTTTACAGCTTAATCTCTCTCTCTCTCGGCACAATCGCAAATCGTTTTTGTTGTAAACCTCGCTCCTAACCTCGGCTCCCAAACCGCCGGCGCAATTTTTACCAACTCTCTCCCCGCCCCAGCCCTCGCCTTAAAACAAAACAACAAAAACGGGGTAGGGGAGAAGGAAAAAAAAAATGTAAAAAAGGAAGGTAAAAAAAAAAAAAAGCTTCACAACCCAGCCTCCCATTAACCCGCTCCCTTCCCCCTGCCAGCCTCTAAAACCAAACCAAAACAACAGAAACAAAAAAAAAAAAAAAAAAAGGGGGGGGGGGGGTGGAGGGGGAGGAAACAACCCCAAACCAAACAAAACAACCTCGCATTGCTCGGATTTTGAGAAAGTGCCCGGATTCCCCTTAAACCCAGCTTCTTGACTTATTTCTCCCGCAGTGCGAGGTGGCCGCGACATGCGACGGCAAGGCTGACACTGGAGGTGAAACAGCCCCGGGGGTGGGGGACAGGGGAAGCCCCCCGAAATCCGCTGGCATCTGACATGATGCACCAGCCGCGCTTCCAGCTCCGTCCCTGCACCCGCACGGTCCTTGGGAAAGGGCCCTCCTTGTCCCCGGTGCCCATCCCGCAGGAAGGCAGGGTCAGTCCCACCGCAGCCCCTGCCCCAGCCCCCTGACGCTGCCGAGCCCAGGCTGGGCTTCGCTCCTTGTTTTGTTCTTTTCAAGCCCTGCGCCTCCCACTCCCCACCCTCCAACACACACCCATTGCCGAGCGCTCGGGGAAAGCCACCCTTCCTCGGAGAAAACACCCCTCGGCGAGCCCACAGGGGCTCTAAGCCCCCTCCCCACCCCCTTAGATGCGGGATAGACACTCGGTCACCCCTTCTTTCCCTTACTTGCATCCTAATGCCAGACCCTAAAGGGAACTGACCTAAACGCTTTACGTTTGATGTCTTCCCGGGCTTGATTTCTTGGGTGTTTGCTCCACTGAACTGGCACTGGGGGAGTCTTCTGAAACCTCTTCTTCTGTTGTGTTGGCTCTTTTATTTTGAGGAGAGGAATCTACGAGGGGAAAATTAAAAACAAGGGGGGCGGAGGGGGAGGAAAAATATTAAAATATTTTCCTTCCAGATGTTTGCTCAGCATCCATGGGGGATAGACGGAACCGAGGGGGAATATTCCCAGATCCCCATGTCAGGTATTGGCTGCGAGCAGGGGGTGGGGAAATGGGCTTCTCCCATAAAAAGGAGACCCAAATTCCCTCTTTTCGGCTAAAATCCATATTCGTTTTTTGCTGAGCGCTGTGAACCTCCTCCCACCTGGGCAGGAGCCCGGGTCCCCGCAGTGGGGCGGCGAGGGGTCGGGGGATCTGACCCGCGTCTAAGGGCTCTTCCTTGCAAATCATCTACCGGCTCCCACTCTAGGCGGGACCCCCGGGACTGCAAACACTACCAGGGCTTTTTTTTTAGGGGGAAAGGGGCGGGTGGGGGGAGGCACACCGAGCCGGTGCCACGCGTGGCAGGGGCGGAGGGGCCGGAGCGCCGGCGCTGACACGAGTGGGACGCGGGGCAGAGCCGTGGGGTACGTTACCATCGGCCGCGGGTCTTTTCCTCTGGGCAGTGCACTGCTCTGCTAAGTCCGTCTGATTTTCTGAAACATCAGTCTTTTGAGCTACACAGTGAGTGTCCTCTGAGATTCCCTGAGAACCGACAAAAACCACGGTTTGGCAATTCCCGTTTACATCCAAGCTCTGGCGGCCGGCGGACTTGCAGACGGCTTTCCGTAGCCGGGGGGGTCTGAAGTAGAAGTCGGGCGAGCTCCCCTTCTCCACGGCTTGCCACTCGTACCTGCCTTCCAACGGCCTGTGATTCTGGAAATCGAAATTCCACTTCCTCTGGTACGCCTCCTCCATCTCCTGCAGGTGTTTCTTGAACTCCCTGTTGAGCTCTTCGTGGTTCACCGGCCCGAAGAGGTTCCGGCACGCTGACGGCTTCGGGTACTCCGACTGCCTGGCCTCCATGCGCTCCAGGGTAGGGCTCCCATTAGAAATGCGGACGTTTGACATCTCCCCGCACGCTGTGGCTCCAGGCGGCGGTTGTTGTGCTCGCTGCTCTCTCTCCGCGGCCTCCGCCGCCCTTTATTTCCCGGCGCCCGGCGGCTCCGCTCCGCTCCTCCGCTCCGCGCTGCCCCGCGCTGCGGCCCCGCCTCGGCTCCGCTCGCCCTCGGCCCGCGGAGAAGGGGCGAGGAGGCGCCCTTGCATAAGCGCCGGCCCGGGGATGAGCCCCGAGAGCCGCCGCTGCCGCCGCCGGGGAGCCCCGGGCGGGTGAGGAGCGGAGCGCGGCGCTGCCCCCGCGGTGCCGGTCCGCCGCCGATGGCGATGGCGCTGGTGCCGATGATGCCCCTGCCGATCGCACCGCCGCCGCGTAGTAAAAGCGAGACGGAAAAAAACAAGAGACGAGCCCTTTTCTCGGTTGCCCAATATGGCGATTGAAGGGAGGCTGACGAAGAAGAAAATGATTGACAGCACGGGTCTATTTAAACAGCCCAGCCGCGCCATTGGTTACGGCGGCGGGCGCCGCCCCGTCCGCCCGGCCCTGCCCCGCAGCCGCCGCCGGCTCTAAAGGTGGGACGGGACGGGCTGGGAGCGGAGGGGAAAACGGCAGGGGTGGGACGGTATCGCTGAGCTTCTTCTCATCATCCCTCTGTAAAGCCCGCAAAGCCCGGCGGGGTTTGTGCCACCCAAAAAAAACACGCACTCCATCCCGCCGCTGCCCCGAGCGCCTGAGGAATGGTGACGGCTGGTTTTGAGTCGGGGCTGTGACAGGAGCGTCCCGCCGCTCTGGTTTGCCCGGGTTGGGCGCGGGCGACACGTCCCCGACGAGGTCCGGGGCTGGGAGCAGGCTGAGCACCCCAGGGCATGCCGCGGGGACCAGCACCCAGACCCGCAGCGCCCTGAGCCCACTGCTGCGGAGATCGGGCTGCTGGCTCCTAGTGCCAAAACCATCATCTGCCCTCTCGGAACAGAAAGGATTAGGTTAAGAAATGTCTCTAAAATAACCTCTGCCGGGATTTCAGATGTCAGCTACTCGGGGAAAGAAAAAAAAAAAAAAAGCATTGGGGTTTGTCCTGTTTGCTCAAAAGATTAGATGAGCAAAGAGTCACAGCCAGGGATTTTCTAAGCAACTTCCTCGAATAGTCAGAGCAGGTGTGGTGGACTTAAGAGCAATCGTGCACTCCTCTCTAGTCCCCTTTTCTCCAGCTCTTTCCACAGGCACCTTCACTCACCAGGCAGGGCAGCCCCCCAGTGTGTTGTGTGACACTGTGGGTTCTCTCAGGCACTGAAGGTTATGACATTTCCAGGTGCCCAGATCCAGTGACTGACCGTTTGGAGGGTCCTGAAGGCTCTTCACACCAATCCATCTGGGCAGGTCTCCTTTGCAAGCAGAGCAACCCTGCCCAAACTTCACGGTGGGAGGATGAGTGGGATAAACAAGTAGCAAGCTATCTCAACAAGGCAGGGGTCAATATAATGGGTTTAACTGGCTGAGATGACAGTCAGCAGGTTTGGCCTTGAAGACATGGAGATTTTACACTCTGGAGAGAGGACACAACCTTCGCACAGTGCTCAAGCCCAGGCCAGCACTTTGCTGGCCATCATCAGACTCAAGGCCTCCAGCTTCTGCTCACAGCACTCAGCAGGGGAATCTCAGTATCATCAGACCCAAGCTCAAAAAAAAAAGTTATGTGTACAGGCAAAAAAAAAAATCAAAAACAAAACAAATGAGATTAGTTTAAAAACAGGTTGAATAACATTATTAGCCAGCCATGTTATTTTTATTTATATGCTGGGGGTTTTAGTACTTGGAAGTTGTTTTTCAACTGCTCTCAGAAACTACAAATTTCAGCAATTCACTTGCAGAAAATTAAAGCTAATGTCTGCAGGACCTAAGATGTTTTTTTGAAGTTACAAGTCCATGATAAAATTCCATCACCTGGAAAAAGTGGGCCTGCATCTGCTGTATTTGCAGGATTTCTTCTTCATTTCTCTAGGCTTTCCTGTCTTTGACTTCCATTGCCACCAGCAAGGAAGCTCCTTTTCAAGCTTCATTTTCTCTGTCAGGTGTAGGGACACTGAGCTTGTTTTGTTGATCCACACGAGGAAGTTGTAACTAAATGATCTGCAGAAAGTGTCTGAGGATGCCCAGGGCTCATCCTGCTGATGGGGGCTTCCCTGCTGGTAACCTGCTGAGTGTCCCACCCCAGACTCCTCAGGTGAGGAGTTCCCATTCTCGGCTCTCTGGGAGTCTCTGCTTGTCTCCCTAATCCACAAGGGAAAGGCAACCCTCTTGTCTGTAGGATTATGACAGTTGTAACAGAGTGTAAACACAAACTAGGAGAAAGAAAAAAAGTGTGGGGAGTGTGGGTTTCGAAAAACTGAAACCTTTACTGCCCACGAGTAAAGCAGCAGCAACATGACAGCAGTGCAACAGAGAGCACTGATTTATCTGAAGCCTTTGGAAAAGAAAAAAAAAGAAAAAAGAAAAGAAAAAAAAAGTTACTGTAGGACAAGAACCTTCTGGGGTTTTTTTGTTTTTGTTCTGTTTATACTTCCCTTAGCACAAGGGCCTGAGACTGAGTCCCTGGATGCTGTACAAGTATATTGAGCGCGAATAATTAAATACAAAGGGGAGGAGAAGGGGGGGGGTGGGGGAGGAGAAGAGGGGCGCGAATAATTTAAGCCGCTGATGGAAGCAACGGAGAAAATGAAAGATGAGTGGTCTGCCCCTCTGTTTATTCCTCTATCCCTTCTCTATCACCCTGCCTCACTCTCGGAGGAACTGGGGAGAGGGAAAGGGGAGGCGATGTACCTCCGCAGCCGCGGTAGCTGCGCGTCTTTCCGGGGGCAGCGCAGCCCCCAACCCGCGCCGCCGGAAACGTTGGGGTCGCGCTGGGACAAATCATCAGGAAAAGGGGTAAAATTAAGGAGAAAAATTAAAAATTAAAAAAAAAAAAAAAATCAGAGTGTCTCAAAATTAAGGAGAAAAATTAAAAATAAAAAAAAAAAATCAGAGTGTCTCCCCCGGGGTGGGAGCATCCGCATCCCCGGAGCATCCGCGGCTGTGCTCGGGTTCGGGGTTGGTCCCCGCCGCTCTTTCGGCTCTCTCGGCTCGTCCCCCCTCCTCTTCCACACGATCTCGGCAATCCACCTTAAATCGCTGCGGCTGCAGAGGGGAAAAAAAAAGAAGACTGTGTCTGCACGACCTTGCCATGATCTAAAGTGTTTTGTTTACAGTCAGGCACCCCCGATGGCTGCAGCAAATCGGGACAGAGGCAGGCGCCCGCCCGTAGTAGCAGTGAAGCGTGGAAAAAAAAAAAAAAATACAGGAAAAAAATATACTCGAAAGTCCCGGAGTGCAGCTGTGGAAAGATCAGAGCGCCATCGTCTTGCAAAAGAGGGGCACAGCAGTGGGGCTGCGGGGGAGGCGGTGCGGGGAGGGCACGGGGGCCAGGGCTGAGCCTCCCCCGCAGAGCTCCAGCCTCCCACAGCCGGCTCTGCCCCGCTCCGGGGCCGCCTCCGCTGGAGATGCGGCCAGTCAAAGATCGGAGGAGAGGATTAGAGAGAGAAAGGAAAACAAACAACAACACGAAAGCCCAAACCCCAAACAAAACTTGGAGAAGTGAAGCAGGAAGGAGGGAGGAGTGTTTGTAGGGGGGTCTGGGCAAAGAATGTCCTGGCTCCTCTAAGAGGCTCTGGACACCCTGTCCCCTCTCTTCCCACTACCCTCTCCTTGCTCTTGTTTGGGCTTTTCCACTGGCAGAGCTGCTCGCTGTTTTTCTTTCCTCCAGAACCGCTTAGGCAAGCCTCCCGTCTCCTTTTTGGCCACCCTCCTTCCCCAGCACTTTATAAGGCTGTCCAGTGAACCAGCAAAGCCCATCCGAACCACACACACAAAGCACCTGGGTTGCTCGAGGTTTTATATATTCCCTTGCAAACATGGGGGAAATTGGGAATCATACCTGGGCTCCTCCACCAGGATGTGTCCTCCAGAGTCGAGGATGAAGAAAGCAGGGATATGGCATGACCCCTCTGGAGGTTTGAGGAGGTTTGTTCCTAACCCACCTCAGCTGTTACTGAGCCGGTGCCGCTTCCCCACCTCTCCAGGTTTTCAGGCCAAGTGCTGATTTCTTCAAGCGATGTGGGGCAAGCCTGCCATGAGATTTAGGGAGCAGGCCCCAAGTATTCACTATATAATATTGACTTAACAGGAGCCCTTCCCTTCTGGGCAGGATTAGGGCCCGGTGAGGTTCAGCTGCAGAGACTGTCAGGAAGGAAAGAGCCATCAGTGTACAAAGGCTCTGGGACACGATCCGGCAGTGCCCAGGGGCAGAGCACTGCCTAGGAGGTCAAGGAGACGCTACCCTCCTGTGCAAGTGGCATTTGAGACCTTTTGCTCATTTGCTGTAAACTCTAGAGGGAGCCTAAGGACAGAGATCAGGCCAGGGCTTGGCCTTGCTGCTGGCAGCGTCCCCGGTGCCCGCCTGGCTGTCCCTGCCGGTCCCGCTGCCGGCGCTGCTGCGGGCTCTGCTCCGCTCCCCTCTCGGCAGCCGGGGCCGCGGTGCCAGGGGTCCCGGCCCTGCCAGCACCTGCAGCAGCCTTGGGTGGCTCAGGTGCCAGGACCAGCCCAGGGGATTTTGAGTCCTCGTGAGAGTGCTGGCAAGGTACAGCTTGGGATTTGGGGTGTCCTTAAGGGGATTTTGATGGTGTCCTTAATGGGATTTGTTTTTAAAGGCAGGTGCTGTGTCAGAAATGCCTCTTCTGTGCTATAACGATACGGCAGGTTACACAGTTATGTCTGCAGAAGATACAGGTTAAAATACTAGCACTGAAAGTACTCATTCCAAAGAGAGAACTCGTTCCCCAAAGAGAGAACTCTCTGCAGCTCTCTGCTTGTCACCAGCTTCCCTTGACTTGCTAAAGGAGCAGTCCTTGTGAAATACCCTGATTTTGTCTCAGGGAAGACCCTTCTGGTCTGGCTCAGACAATTTTAGTTTTGTTTTTCATTT